TGACAGATATTTTTACTTTTTTTGCGGCGCTTAATCATAAGTGCGATTTTCTAGGAGTCTCTGATAGCCTGCGCATCCGTTTGCAAGGGGTTTTGCGGTAATGTCGGTAAATATTTAGGCATTTTTTTGCAGAAAAATCATAATTTATTATATGGTTTAATAATTTATAATCATAATTGGCACCAAATCTTGACAATCACAGCGGCCAGCAACGCAAATGAGATACTGTAGGTTGAGGCGGGATTGCAATAATCACCCGTGCAACAATAGAAGTGACCCTTGACGTTTTTTCCATTCGTGTCGGCTACGGTCAGCTTGTAGGAGCCCTCTTTCTAAAAAAAAATAGATATAAACATGGTTGACGATAGTTATATTAGGTTAGGTAAGTTCTTGAGTCTTATCAAAAATCATAGCCGACGAAATAATATAGAAAATTAATATCAAAGCTAATCAGCCTTCAAAATCCGAAAAGAGCTTACCGTGCAGACGCTATCGCTGGCGACGCATCCCCAAACGACGAGCGACTAAAATAATTCAGTCAAATTATAATTTAAGAAACTTACGCTCGAAGCGAACTTTCCGCACCACTTCTGGTTCTCGCAGTAGACTTTCTGGGCCGACTAAAGGAATGTTTTTTAAATGATTAATATTTTTGGCTGGCTTGGGCTTTGGATTATTGTCAGACTTAGGTTGGGACTCAGACTTCGACTAAATCCAGCCTAGGCTTTGGCTTAGGCCTGGGGCTCACACACAAGCCTAAGCTTAGATGAGGCGTAAGTTAGGCTTAAGCTTAGGCTTAGGTTCCGGGGCAGTTAGCGAGAACATGATTGTCAACTTTTTTAATCCGAGTCAGGAAAAAATTACAAGAAGGGAAATATTTAATTAATGAAAAATAAAAGAAGGTATTCTGCATCTATCGAGTGCTTTTCGAATACTACGAAATGACAAAAGCTTCCAAACGTATATCTCAAGTAATTTACCGCAGTATTCAATGCCCATTTTCCATTATCATTTGCGTCTTGATAGCAAGTATGCGGGCCATAGACGGCCGCGACCCCAGTCTGCTGCTGAAGTTGCTGCTGTGGTTGGGTGCTGTTTGAAATTGCCAATACGGTGGCGATGAACGTCGCCAGCTCCATCTTACTGAAAATAATACGATATCAAAACACGTTAATTAATGCAAAAATAGACAAGCTTCGGAAAATAAAGTATTGGCTGTAAACATATTCTCGATTTTTGATGAGGCGAAGTTGATGGCGAAAGATAAAAACTAAAGCGAAGAGACTCCCAGAACATTCAGAAACGTCATGCTAAGCGCACCCCTCTCCTTGACACCATCCTTTTATAACCTGCAAGCCATATCGCAGTCAAATATTGTAGATAGCAGCGTACGTGGGCAGACGGGTCCCTGACTCAGCCGCTCAATGCGATGACTTCTCGCCCCCATTCAGACGCTTTTCCAATGGCACTCGGAATTATCACCATGTCGGGGCCGAAGAGCAACGCCATCTGTGATGACCGGTCAAAACGGTCGGGACTGTTTGCATAGTGATTGGTGCGGGTTGAGCAATATTGGGGAGAGTACAGAGGCTTACCTGGCGCGATTTAGATGAGGAACAGAGATACGCAGCTGTTCGCTGATGTATACGTCCAACTTTTACTACTATTTCACTATATACTATACGTGTAACTACATAATTATCCCCCCTCCCTTTACACAGCGTAACTCGTTGGCCATTTGCCAATTGTAGCTCCATATGCAAGGTTTAGACCGGTTGAAAGTTGGTTGGTCCATGATTTGCATCTCGAAAACTTGTAGATTTCACCCCGGTTTACAGATTAAGCTCATTGTTTATCCCATATGAAAGATATGAATTTAATTTGCACGGGTTTATTTCCCAATCATTTTGCCTGCGGCGACGATAGTGCATAAATCATTTCGGCACTCGGCGATACTTTGCTCCCCTGTTGCCCGCTGGCACTCGGCCGAAACTGGAGCCGCAGGATCTGTCTGGTCCGCCGGCGATAAGCCTCAAAAAAATTCGATAAAAGACTGAGGATAAATATCACGTCTTTCCGAAGCTCTGAAAAAGACAAACCCGAAACAGTATTAGGACAAGGATCGCATCCGAGCTCGAATAACTGGAGAAGAAGAGGGGAGCACAGAGGCCCCATTCGGAGGGGATGATACCTGTTATCGTTATTATTTAAAGTCGAATCAATTTAATTTAGTGTTAAATTTACAAATACCAACCGGTCGGTCCACCTAAAAGCATTACGATAGCCGGGATGAATTCGAAGATGAACGGCGAAATCGCCTGAAAAAGACTAACGGATCTCCATCTATGTCTCTGTCTCTCTCGTTTCTCTCTTTCTCTCTTTCTGTCTCTATCTCTCTCTATCTCGCTCTCTCTACCTGACTGGTTGTCGCTCTCTTTCTCTCCCTCTTTCGCTTTCTCACCTGCGCGAGTAGCAACATCAAAAACTGCAGCTGATACCGCTGTGCCGTGCCCCTGGTCATCGAATTTTTCACGTAAAAATATCTGGTAATAAACGTAATTATAATTTCTGCTTGACGTACAATTTCAATCCCGTAATACACGTCGAGCTATAGAAAATCGAAAACAGTGACAATATCACAGTCGTGCCGATGATCATCGCCCAGTTGAAGGCCAGACCACCATGATCGTCGGGGTACTGTCAAATTAAACATATGGAGGACTACCGTATGTTACCGTATGCCAGTGTGCTAGTAACTACAGTAATATATTTCGCATCCATCAACCGTATAAAATACTTCAGTACTTATATTAATTTTAACAAAACCCCTTAATTACGGATATATGCGTCATATTTTCTATTTTTACAGTTTTGCAGATTCTTAAGGACGCGTATGTTGTTTTTCTCCTGATTGTCTTCATTAAAGGGTACAGTTCACTCCAAACAACACTCCAAGTGCAACTGCACGCGATTATTAGTCCATACCCGCGAAGTATACTACGTACGTCTTACGTCCAAGGATACGGTACAATGATCTTTGCTCGCTCCCCCAACAATAATTCTTACCGAATATACGGTTCCATAATAATAAGTGTCGGGCGTGATGGAGATATTCAGGATCCGCACGACTTCCTGCTGCCCCAATTTCGTGCGAATTTCCGACGGCTAAAATGTAGTGATCCTCAGTTTTACCGAAATCTGTCAATTTGCAAAAATTCTTACGTGCATCGTTAAATAAACTGCAGATTCGACCGTTGAGGAATTTATTAAATGGAATATAACAAGCCCGAAAATACCGAGTTTCGTTTTGATGGCTGCTTGGTATTTTCTGAACGAGTCTATTGGTCAAGCTGCGAAATTGATACCCCGTAATTTTGATGTATCGATAGAAGCAGTGGATATCATTAGTAATGATAGGGATTGCCCAAATCCGTTGACAAAAAGTGCGAGACCAATTTTTGAGGCTTGATAGCTGCCGAGGAAGGTTTTGGAGAAGCCGATGAAACCGTAGCGATCGATAATATAGACCTAAATATTGCGAATTATGTAAAACGCAGTAATAAAATTGGAGGCAAACAATTTTTTTAATTATTTGGGTTTTTTTATTAGGTTGGGGCGTTAAATTTTAATATAGTGAAAATTAATTTTTTTATTAACTTACCGGATTCACGATCCTGATCACCAGCGAGTAGTAGATGTTATAACACGCGATAATCGTCAGCATTATCCGACTGCCCTTGATCTCGGCACGGCTTACGGTGGCAATCACAAATAATAGGAATAGATTTGCCCCAACCCCCAGCGCCACCACCACATTGCTGGCATAGCTGTGGACCTCGGCCGTGCACCGCAGTTCCGGCAGATGCAGCATCCGAAAATCGGGATTTTCTTTTCTAATGGTTGTTTTATAGAGGACAAGGAATGGAAATTATAGAACAGAGGAACCTAATTGTGTCAATTGACGGCATCTAGTGAGCGCAGATTACCCGAAAAAGAAGGGTGTAGTGTAGTCTCGTGCCTTTATTCCCGAGGGTGGCGGGAGATCCTTGAAATTACTTGAAATTATGACGCAGCTGAGCAAGCCGTTTAGAATTCTTTCAGCGGCATGACCTTCATAAGAGAGTAAAGAGAAGAAAGATTGAAGTTGTTCATTAAAACACAACTCGTGTTTTCGCCAAAGAGTCCTTGGGGGTTAATGAGAATCAGAATCATTGGACAAAACTAGAAGGTCTTGACATGAAACCGATCCTCAAGAACCCCTCGAATATAAACGCTTGCCTAAAGGGACTGGCGAGCAGGGTTGGTCCTTTTGGTATCCGGATGCTATCCGGGTAATATCCCGATATGGGTATGTATCCATACATTATGATTGCGACTGACTCTTACAAGGAGCATCAGGAATCTAGGAAAATGCACCAAATTACTCCGCTAGCTTGACTTTCAGAAATTATTCAAAGTCTAGCTTCAAATACCGAGCAAAACAATGAACAAGTGCAAAGCTCTAAATACCCCTAACAAGGAGTTCAAAGTTAAAACGGCACCCAAAAGCCTATCTTTTTGCTCTAAAGGCACTCATGGTAGGAGACAGTCACTAGTTTTTTTGAATTTTATAAAATCAGGGATAGCCATTTCGCAAAAAAAGACAACGGAGTCTTGCGCAGAATTCAATTCTCTATCGAATGAGCTAGGTCTCGTAAGATTTTGCCGATGACTCAAAAAAGCACTTTTTGTAAGAATAAGTCGCAATCATAATCGGCTGCAGCAATGAGGAACGAATGAGATAGCAGAAATACAACAACTTGGACGCCCCAAGCACAAAATAAATTATTCGTCAGCCTCAGGCGCGCGGAAGTCGTTTTGAGCAAGTGAAGCGGTAAACATTGAATACCGAAGAAAAAGGCGAGCAAGATCGGAAACCATTTTTACGCCATTGTTTGGCCAACGGTTCTGATGATCTTTGAACCGTTGAACTGATACTCATGAAACTCCAGTTTAGGGTGGGGACTCCTGCACCGGAAACGGAAGCTTGGAACACTTCGGTCCATAGATTTTTGAACGTTTCCCACTGCGCCCCAGAAATTTCGAAGCTGTTTCTTGGAGTTGTTGGTTAAACATACTGTAGGAACGCGCTCAGCACCGAAGCCTAAGACTAAGTCTAAGCCTAAGCCTGAATCTAAGACTAAACCTAAGCCTACGCCTAAACCTACGCCGTGGCCTAAACCTCAGCCCAAGCTTAAGCCTAAAACCCAGACCCAAGCCTAATTTAACCAAGCCAACCAACTATTTATTCAGTTACTTTCTTAGCGGACAGCTTCGCTGAACCCTGAATATTTCCTTTCGTATCGGACGGCTGAAAACGCGACTCCGATCCGGAAGTAGCCTCAGCTTCAAAATCTCCAGAACACGTTTACGGTAGTCCTCGAATAACCCGGTGTACATAGACCAAAAAGTAACGATTACCTTGAAAAGTATCAATACCAAAATCGCATCGCAACTCGCATAGCCCGCCATGACGATCGGGATGCAAAGACCCCAGTTGTGGGGTAACCCTAATTTATCTTCAGTTTTAAGATACCAGGATTTCTTTGTTTACCAATGACACCTCCCAGCAATAATGCAAAACCGGGGATCAGCTCAAAAAAATAGTGGCGAAGGCGCCTGGGCCAATAATATAGGTTCCGATACATCCTTTAAAAGAATTGCAGGGGGTTAATCGGATTTGCCACGTCCTAATGGCAATTTTATATGGACACCGACCCCCAGGGTTTTTAGCAACCGTGGTACTTCAAAGCTCAAACCGTGATCTAGCGCTGTACCAAAATCCTATGGTAGATTTTAGCGCAGCTTGCTGCTGTGTTGGGATTTGTTTTTTTGAGTTGGTTATCCACGAATTCCATGAATTTTACAATTTTATTCGCTAGCTCCCTTTTCGGTTTGCTTGGCCCGGCGCGGGTCACTCTCATTAGTGTCGGTCGTGTGGAAGATGCGGCTGCGATCCGGCCAGATGTTCATTTTCAAAATCGCTACCACCCGCTGTCGATAGGCCTGAAACGTACCAAGCAACGCTGGATAAGAAATTTACCTTGAAAAGTATCAATACCAAAATGGCATCGCAACTCGAATACCCGGCCATGACGATCGGGATGCATAGACCCCAGTTGTGAGGAAAACCTATTTTTTATGGTTCTCAGGGTTATAGGGACATTCTATACCGATTACACCTCCAAAAACTAATACAAATGCGGGTATCAGCTCGAAAAGTAGTGGAGATAGTGCCTGTGCGAATAAGAGCATGAGTAATTGGAGCTGGAGTCGGCGGGCCGATTTGCTAGAGAGCGATTTTTTGACGTAGATATATCTAAATTTAACGACACGACTAGTATATTAGAATCAGAAAATGACCAAAGACAGATAACAAATGGCTTACAGCTTAATTCCGGTGACGCAGGTGGAACTATACAGAATCGAAAAGAAAATTAATGCGATAACGGTTCCGAGGATGAAGTTCCAGTTGTAGATCTCGCCCCCGTCACTGTCAGGGTACTAAAGAAACCTAATTTTAATAGATACCCGCATAAATACACTCCCTTAAAACGCGTTTAGGAACCTACCGAAAATACAGCCCCATAATAATACAGGTCTTCAGTAATGTTGATATTTAGAATTTCAAGGGCCTCGAGGTAAGAGAGCTCGGTTCGGATCTTGGAAGGCTTAATTCAAGGTATTCCAGGAAGAAACTTAAACTACCCCGAGTGCCATAATTGGACAAGCCTGAATAGCACAAACAGCTAGAATATGTCCGAAAACCAAGCTAACAATGCCCGTCGTAGTCTTTATGGCGGCTTTACACTTTCTGAAATATGTTTGATGTTCTATAAGATATTAACAATTACCCAGTAATCTTAATCCAACGATAAAAGCAATGGATCATCAACAATGAGAGCGATTGCGCATAGCTGGTCACGAAAAGTGTCAACCCGAAAAATGTCCAAAAATAGGAAGTAGAGAACGCTCTGGTGAAGCCGATATAGCCACGCTCGTCGATGAGATATGCCTAAAAATGTCGGTAAGACGAAACTAAATACTTTACCGGATGCGCAACGCGTAACGCCAACGAATAGTAAATATTATAAACCGTAATAATGGTCTGCATCGTTCGGCATCCCCTCATCTCGGGTCGGGTTACGGTAAAGATCACAAATAATAAGAAGAGGTTGCTGAAGACTCCGACGGCGGCCACCCATGAGCTCGCCGAGTCGTGATTTTCAAGGCTACACAACATTCTGAATATGCTGATTACCTTGAAAACCCTAAGTCTAAAAGAAAACCGGAAAAACAACAAGCCTATAAAAAACCGATAATAAGCCCGCTTTCCGCTGACGAAGCGCGACACCGAAAAGATGAACCCAATGTATAAAATTTTCTTAGTTGGAGCATCAGAGTTGAACTTAAAATGACTGAAGCCTTGTAGTCACTAATTAGATTTGCCTCTTCGCATAATGCAATTTTGAATCATTTTTGGAACCCCTGGGGATGGGCGGCCCCAAGATAGGCAATGTGCGTCCTTGGAACATCCGCGGTACGGTAGTTTAACAGTACAGGAAAACGTAACGCAGATTCCGCGTTTGGCTGACGTACTGGGAAGTACCATAAGCTGCGTCAATGCTGTATCTCGCGTAAATTACAAAAGATCGTACAATATTTATTTAATCCGTCAAGCTTTTACAAATAGACTTTCGGTAACTTCGTTCCTCTAAGCATCCAACTTGTTGCCACTGGCTGGCGTGACGGCTTCGGCTGTATCGCTAGTCTGGAATATCTGACTCCGGTTCGGGCAGATCCGGCAGCGCAGGAAAATCTCGATCACGCGCTGTCGATAGGCCTACGACAACGAATCATCAAAAAAATAGTGTGAAACCTTGAATAATATCAATGCCAATACGGCGTCACAGGTCGAGTATAGGGTTAGGATCACCGAGATGAGAAGTCCGGTGCTGTAGGGAACGCCTAGAAGCATGAAATGTCAGCCCTAATTGTGAGCCCAAGCCCTAAGCCTGAGCCTATGCATATGCCTCCAACTTACTTACCTATCATCCCACCAAGCAACAACACAAAAGCTGGAATAAATTCGAAAATCAGGGGTGACACTGCCTAAAATCATCTTCTTTTACTAGGCGCTTAATTTTAAACCTGTGCCAATAAAAGTGAAAGCAACTGCAGCTGAATCT